AAAGTTAGTCACCCAACAAGTCGGTGACCACGAGTGAGTGGTCTGAGATTGACAGGTTGTGTGTGTCAATCACAAAACACGTGTTTTGGATGTGTCACCGACATTCATACGGTATTCACCAATACGAAGCGGCTATTTCAGTGTCGGTGATACATGTTTTTATAATGACTATATAGCCTGGACCACATCAACTTATAACATCCGTCTCATTAATATGAAGCGAGTCAGTGGTGTGTGATTGACAGTGCGCAGGGACCAATCACAAACCGGGTCATTGTCCTCAGTCTCTGCTCAGGAAATCGATGGTAATATTTAAGGCACGAGCGCCCGCTTTTCCCCTCACAGGCGACCGTAGCTCCTCTTCAGCCTCTTAAGACAAGCCGAGAGAGAGACCTGACTGTGATAACAACAAGAACGAGATTTGCTAGGTGAGTTTTACAAACAATTGTATTGCTTTTATAGTTCTCGCTGGGATTCATTTCTACAAATCAGTTGATGCAGTTGATGTTTGTACATATTGCTTATGCGGGACTTCTGCTGTACTGACTCCCTAAAAAAACAATGAAGCGCAAGCTCTTGCATGAATTCAGTCATGTTTACATGTAGGGTTCCACTCAGCATGCCACTGAGATTTTGTTGATTTTTTTTTTTTTTTTAAGAACAATGATAGTGGTATTTTGATTAACATTTGGAAAGTTTTTGGTTGAGTGGTTGTACAAATGTTCACAAATCCTAAAGATTTTAATACACATTCGGTTGACAGACAGATAGTGGCAGACGCTAATAGTCAAACCAGTACCCTAATTCTCATACCAAAATATATATATGTTTTTTACGCCTGTAACTTGATGCGGTAGTCTATCTGTAATTATTACCGCCACTACTTCCAAGATGAGATCGACTCCCTTAACAATGTAGAAAATGTAAGCTCATTGTGATTCATACAACTACGAATTCAAGCAATTTTTAAAGGAATATAGGATCATTTTCCTTCAGTGCTATTTTGTTAGATACAACCAAATTCCAAAGAATCTGAAGTAGGGTGTATAAGAACTAACCTGTTGAAGTTTTAGCCCAGTGGGTGCACGATGAGAAAAATGTATGCACAATGTATTGGTCTGAAATTCAGTCTTGGAAAAGGATTTCGTTGCAAACACACGTATTAAAAACAATGTGCACGCGGGGACATTATTTTCAAAACCCATTCCATGTTAAGGTTTTTATACAATTTTCGGCAGGGTATTTGATTTAAGTCCTATCTTCCTTTTTGATCATTGAGTTTCTGTCATAGACCTTTATCATGCTGCCACCAATTAAGTCATGTTTCCTGTTTCCAATTGCAGTACTGAATGATAATAATTGTGTGCAAAAAGGAACCAGACGATTTTTCCTCCGGCCTCGCTTTGTTTACGTTGATTTAAAAGGGAAAAACTCAAGATGGCCGCAATATGATAATTGTTTTTTTTTAACCGGTAGTTACTTTTCCGGGCATTTGCAGATAAGCTTGCACTGCTTAAACTTATTTTGTTTTTTTCTAAAGATATAAAAAACAAACATGGAATCCTATTTGTGAGAAATTATTTGTTGTACATTGTTTTTGAAACCGGTAGTTACTTTTCCGGGCATTTGCAAATAAACTTGCACTGAATAAACTTCTTCTTTTTTTCTAAAAATAAAAAAAAAGAATCCTGTTTGTGAGAAACCAAAAATTGTAAACTTTTGCGTGAATCTATTCAGGCCGTTGTATTGTTCACTGTAAATAATCAATCCAAATCACAGTTCGCCCCGACAGAGAGTGTTTTACACTCTGGGCCGAAGTTTTGATACAAATTAAGTCCGAAATGGCAGCCATATTTAAATCGAAAATAGCCGCAACACGATCAACGGTTACAAATAATTCAGAATGAAAATGTATGCCTTATTTTGTGTTATTTACAATTGGGTAATGTCAGTACCATTTGTACACTTGATGTTGAACTGTGTTAGGCCTATGGCTAGTTCACACTTTATTCTGGCTTTATTATAAAGTTACTTTCAAGCATTACATTATTAACGTCTCACGGGTCAGAAAAGACTAGAAGGTGCCAATACAAGCGGACTGGATCATGATGAGGCACAGTTTTTTTGTTTTTTTTCAAGTGCAATTTGTTTTATCCAGGAGGATTCAAATCATGTACAGAGCTGATGTTTCTTCAAAATCTGCCCTTATGCTCTGCTGTTTTCAAAAGTTAAAAGCACGAGCTTATGGAGGAATTCAGTCATTTTTGCATGTAGTGTTTCACTCAGCGTGCCACTTAGATTCACATGAATCAAAATTAGGTTTTGCCCTTAGATTCACATGGCTCGAAAAAGCCATATTTGTTTGTGTCTTGATAATTTGATTTTGTTCTAGTTTTACAGTTGGAACAGATTTTCACAAATCCTACGGAACAGTTGGAACAGATTTTCACAAATCCTACGGATATTCTGAGACTCACTTTGTTGTGAAACAGATGGATACTGGTGTTAATAGTTAAAACCAGTTCGCTGATTTTAAATCCGGAATCTAACAGTTTTCCTCTAACGGCTATAACTTGACTACCGTAGTTTACCTGTAATATGTTCGCCAATACTTCCCTTGTGTAAGAACAGTTTCCCATTTGATTGCAGAATATTATGCTCAATGTGACCGCTACAAATTCAAATTCAAATACGTTTGAATCAATAACCGTTCCTTTTTTGCGTGAACGGTTCTCTCCCATTCTGCAAGTTCCTCCAAATTTACCTTTTGTTTTTCACTTTAGAATGAGGGGTCGAACACATTAGAATATTGAATCAAAAATTGTGAATTGTAATATTTGAGGACGATAACATCTCATGCACATAATTCAGACCGACGTTTTGTGCTTAAAATGCGCCAAAGCAACTCCAAATAAAAAGTTTGTTACATAATAACATTTTTTCTTTTTTATTAGACAAAACAGAAAAAAAGGGGCTGCGTTGGAGAGCCCGAACAGAGCATCTTCCATATTTTTCAAGAATTTCTTGTGGTGATAACCTCGTTGACGTCGAAATAAATAAAACGAATCACTAGTCAACAAAGGTATGAATGTTACTCATGCGCGAGTCCAGTCTTGGCAATTAGTGAACGCATTAAGTACTTTCCCCATCCCCCATCCCCCCCCCCCCGGAAAAAAATATTACATTACACCAAAGCGAATATCAGATTAATTTATCTTCTCGCTGTTTTATAAGTGAAATGCAGCTTTGCCTGCCTGCCCCGACAGCCCCCAAGTTATTCCTGAGCGAATTTTCAATGACTGTTGATATTATTTTTCAGCCTGCAAATTGCTCGAGTGGTGAGGATATCATTCGTGACAGACTTCAAAAAGATTACATCAGGGTGAGTTTCTGTTACTGAAAATGACTGCAAAAATTTAATTCCATTCAACATCAACCTAGGGTATATATTTAGGCGATTGAAGACACTGAAATGACATCATCTTCTGGGCTCAAACACCAGACAACAAAAATTCATTTGTCCAAGCGGTTTGCTGATATTTTTTCATCAATACAAAATTGTAACAATGTGATTTTAAACTGTAGCAATATGAATACTGACGACAATTGGCATCACGTCTCTTTATACCCCGAATGGCGTCGTATACAACGCCCCACTTTACTTATTAAGGCTGATAGAGCTCTGTTTTTTCCTAACATTTGATTTGATGTCTTTTAATTTAGAACAGAAAACGAAGTTTGAAAACAAAAATATTTAAAACTTACCTTTAGAGAATAGAGGGATCCCCCTGCCCTTGAACCATTATAGCAGCGTGCCTGACATGTTTTGCCAATATTTGCTCACAAAACTGTTTGAACTTAAACCGACCATGTCTTATAATAGTTTTGGAATGTTTTGGCCATCAGCATGACATTTTGGAGTCTTTTCCTATCGATATGGTTATGGATTGATATGGTATAAAAGAATATCTGTAGAATGTGCCTGGCTACCATATGGCAACCGATTTAAAACATCAGTTATCATCAAACTTGGTATTTTTAAACACAAAACTTTGAAATAAGCAATGTTTCAGTCAAAACCATGATTTCTTTGCCTAAACCAGACTACAATGCATTCAGGGAATCCAATATGGCCTCCATTGGCGCAAACGCGGCATTTAATTTTCACTTTTTTTTACAATTTCGTTAGTGTCTGGGTACTTTTTCGATAGTTCCCTCATGAACAAATTAAATGAGAAACATTGATAAAATCACAATAAAAATTCATTGGGTGTCACTTTTGGTAGAAACAAAATCACATATAGGAACAATTACAAACAATGAAGATTTTACCACAAACAAAAGTGAAATAATATAACGTCCTCTTCCGGTTAATGTCAATGCCAAAGTTGTGTTTAGTTTGATTGGTAATGGTCCATGCACTGGTTGTTCCAAATCTGAAGGTATTTTAATAAATTAAACACAATGTAGACATTTTGGCCAAATACCATTTTGACGAAAAATAGCCTAGATATTTATTACATCGCCTTTCTGTGGTTGCCTTCGTGCTACCATCTTGGTAGATTATTGGCCATAAAACATTTCTGCCAAATTTAAGGGAAAGTGGCAGTTGCATATTGAAAATAAAATGGGAAAGCTATTGTGGTTTTGTGGTACAACACTCTCAATTTAGACTTCGACGAAATCATTCATTTCAGAAAGGCAGATCCGTCACTCGAATCTGTCAAAGGACGGATTCGTCATAGAATATGTGGAGTTTTACACCACAGTCTTCAATACATTGTACATCAAATGTTGTCTACGAGCAATGATTTGCATTCAATGAGAAGTTTAAAGAAAAGCATGTCAAACTTGATCAGAATAAAGATTGAGGATATAAAATCTTCACATACTTCACATGGTAAATGTGTAAATCTGACCTCAACATTTGTCTCTAAGCTTGCCCCATTTTTTTTCCATATTTATGTATTTCCTTTTTATTTTTTTGTGTTCCTTTACAGATGAAGATTTGCGTGATAACCGCTCTTTCAATCGCACTCCTTCTGGGTAACTCTGTCAAGCTCCGAGCTTCCGTTACTGGGCCGGTTCCCTCGGACGGTGATGGTCCTGTGTCTCAGGTGTGTCAGCAGTGCTGCCAGGGACCTGCTGCCATACCCGGCATACCAGGTCTGCCTGGACCAGCAGGGCAGATGGGGCCGTACGGTCAGCCGGGGTCAAAGGGCGTTGCAGGTCAGCAAGGTCAAAAGGGTGAGATTGGCCCTATTGGCCCTATGGGTGAGCGAGGAGCACCTGGGAACATTGGGTCTAAAGGTGATGATGGGATTGGCCTGCCCGGCAAGATAGGTCCGAGAGGCCCACCGGGTCTTGTTGGAGCAGCCGGTCAGGCTGGTGTCAAAGGTCAGAAGGGTGAGCCAGGGGAGACACCAGACGAATCCAACCAGCGGGTAGCATTTACTGTGGTGAGGACGAGCAACTCGGATAAATCTACGAGTCACGATACCCGTTTGCCCTTCCAGCAGACCGAGACGCTTCTGCAGGGTACCAGCTTCAATCTCGAGACCGGCACGTTCACGTGTACTGTGCCGGGCACCTACGTGTTCATGTTTTCTGTGTGCAAAGATTATGACACTAGCATTACTGCATACATTCATCTTCGAAAAAATAACGATTGGGTTGCCTCTGGCCAAAGCTATGATACAAGTAGCCATGAGCAAATGTCTGGAAGCGCGGTGCTGGTTTTGCAGCGAGCAGACACGGTGTATCTGACTTTTCGCGGTAGTGCGTTAAGTGATTCCACCTATCACTACACCTCATTCAGTGGCTTCCTCCTTTACCCCGAATAGACAAACAGTCGGTCACTACTCCGAGTAATTGTGAAATTGAAACTATTTCGATATTATATAAATTAGTTTTACATGCATATTTTGGTACAGACTGTTATTAGCGCATTCGTAGATCAATTTTACGGTATTTGATTCACGAAGGGTCTTTGATGGTACTTCATTGTAGCGCTGCATGTCTATAGGTGTCATCAATAATATGTTTAATATACTTATTAAATAAACTAAAATAATTATATTCTGTTTGCAACGTTGGTATACACATGTAATAATTGGAAATGGAAGAGTCACAACACATCCTGTATCGTAATGGTCGCCATTTTTGTGTGAATAAGGCAAATATTACATATTTTGTAAATGAGGAGATATTTCTGTAATTCACATGCATTCTGGCCATTTCCCCCCATTCTTTGCATAAAACCAATTCAAAGTCTGACAAGGCAGCCGATGATCAGTTTACAAAAAGCGTCAACATTTGTCCTCGTAAGCATGTCTTCAGACACCGGCTCAAAACTGATTTTCCAATAAAATATGTCTCGTCCATACTTCAATTAATTGAAAAAGGTGTGTTTAATCCTATATTCTTTTTTTTTTTGAATTGCACAACATGACCCGGAACATTCTGAAATTTCGGACACCATAATTTACTTATTTCTCACCTCCCATGTTAATAAGAAATTCAAGTATTTTAATTACATTTGCTTATCACAGCTCATTTCAGTTTATTTCTTATAAAGAAATAAGTATCTATGATTTAATTACAATGTTGGTTGTTAAAGGTAACAATATCACAAGGAGACAAAAAAAACCACTTGTGTTTGTATTAAAGCCTGTTGCTACAGTACAGTTGATTATAATCGCTCTGTTTACAACACGAAGTAATGTGATACGCATCGAATATAACTGTACTCAGAAAATGCAAATAGTTATTGAAAACTCCAGCTTTTGATAATGTAAAAAACTACATGCTTCTTTTTTAAATTTCTTTCTTAAACTCTTTCGACTGGACTTTATGTATGTTTCCAAACACTTTCATAATACTGTATTTACTGTTTTTTTAATCGAATTCACAGAAAAGTAAAAGTACAAGGACATACTTGAATCATTGGTCGTTGTCATGAACGATCGAATCCCAAATTTGCCTCTCATAAACACATTTTCTGAAGATGCTCATGGTAAAAAAATAATACATTTATCGCTGTAGTTTCGATATTAAAATAGTTAATGCAGACAAAATCAAATTGTGTGTGTTTTGAGTGTCGGGATGATTCAACTTGGGACTGGGGTTAAGTTCAGGCGCAGATTCGTTTGAGGGTGGGTGGGGTTTGATGATGGGTGGGGGTTGAAGATAAATGGGTTATTAAGCGTGTGTATGGCCCGAGGTGGGTGGGGTTGAGTAGGGGCGGGATCAAGGGTTGGCGTTGGTTGTGGTGAGCTTGTCTTACATACGCAGTGTGGACTTCCGAACAAAAGACGTCCACATAATGTAGGTAGCAGCGACGAAGTGTGGACTTGCCCACGTCCACACAGTTTTTTCCCCATTTCTAGAAAACAGGTTTAGAGGCATTTTTGGGTTAGGTTTATTTGTAGCAGAATGAAGAGAAACACTAAAGGGAATCATTGAAAAAAAATTGGGTTGTAAGAGTTTTCACAGTTTGAGAAAAATGAGTTTTTCCACTGGTGTTCCTTAACTACACGAAAAGAAAGGAAAGTCCACACTAGGTATGTGAAACAAGTCTGGGTGTGTGTGTGTGTGTGTGGGGGGGGGGTATGATGATGCTTTAGGGTATAGATGTTGATACAGATGTTTGGATGTAGGGTGGGGTGATTGAGGGTGAGTTAAGGGCAGGCGTTCAACGAGATTGAGGCGGGGTGGTTGGCGATTGGTATGAGAGTGAGACGGGTAAGAGTGGATGGGTAAGAGTTGTACCGGAGTCCCCATTATTCCAACCTCATCAAAATCACTCGCATATGTGGCAGAAGTGGGGGAGTGGGTATTGTCTCTTTTGAAGTTTGTTTTGTCTTTTTTCACATTATTTTGGACACCTCGCTACAGAGGCGTTTGAATTGTGGCCCTCCATTTCCAGAAACATTCCAACGCCATTGCGACTGTCAATGCTGATGTGGATGCCTGCAGCTGTGCCCCCTCCTCTCTTCCCTCCCACTTATTTTAATTCTGCCAACGCCCGTTTTGTGAAAAGAAAGTTACAGATAAGTCGCGACATTATGTTAACTCATGTAAAAGTTCGAGCAGTTCGAGTACTACTATAGCACTAAGGCAGACTGGCGATGCATATCCATTTGTTTTGGTGTACTGTTAAATCCTGTACTTGACTTGCATCTTGAACATCGCAGCCCCGACATGGTACGGTCCAAGTCTGCATTGAGAATCATGTTATCTCCCATGCAGCCGATACCATCCGAAGAATTAGCTCCAAACCCGTTACCGCTAACGAGGACACAAGTCCAGGACTGACCGTGTTGCAGTAGGAGAAGCCAGGCACGTGTATTGACATGGGATCGGGACGAGACAGGATTTAGATCTGGGAGGAAAAATTAGACTGATGAGTCCTGGTATTTATACGAACAGGGAAGCTAGTGTAATTATGACTGAATTATGAAAGTAACAGAAAGGTCAACTAACTGTGAACAGATTATCTTTTACGACTTTTCAAAGAGTGAAAATTCATCCTTATTTTATCTATATCCCGCGGAAACTAAGGACAAGACGATATAAAGTGAAATTTATTCAATCGAATATATCAAAGCAGTAACTCGAATCCCGACTAGAGTGCCCTTTTCGTATTTCAATCTGAAGAGATGTTCATAGACATGGAAAAATTTTGGGTCTAAACCATCTGGCCCCCAGGTCTTTGTAAACAAGAGAGTTAGGCCTACCTGGAGTCATGTTATGTATCTTATTATATAATCTCTCGGTTGTGATCCTGTTAACTCGACCACAGAACCAGACTTTCAGCTCCTCTTGCCTCATCATTATCATTCTGGCCCATACCAAGGTTACCAATTTTAATGTAAAACTTTCCTGTCGATACAAAGATATAGTAATGAACCAGTGTTTTGTTTTTTAAAGTAATATAAAATTTCATCCGACTGGAACTGGGAATATCAATTACATTTAAAATGAAATGCTGTCCAATATATTTTCTACGCGAGTGATTTACTTTTCGAACCTATACAACCTGTATATCTTTCACCGTGTAATCGTCTGGTTATCTAGTCTCAGGGAGCTCAATTGATTGAACAACAGCGACAACAATCGCTTACAATAGCTTGAAAACAATTGTCTGTAGGCCTATATTAGCGGTCTCCCGATTTGTAAAAAGATCGACTCTCAGAAATATCAGCTCAGTAGGTGATCGGGCTACAGATTCAAACCCCTGTATATTCAGTTTCTTCTTTAATTTTCGTACGACATCTAGGGAGATTCCAACTGTAGTTGGATATTCGTCCCATTCATGGAATCGTCCTAAACATAGTTGGCACCATTGCTGTAGTGGGGGGGGGGGGATCATAACCAACAAATAACCTTTGTTTCTACTACCCAAACCCCATTCATATAATACAAACAAGCAGGTTTCGGTTAATAAAATGACGTATCTGAATGGATATGATATATGAATTGGAGGCAAGATGTAACCATTCTGTTGCAAGTCCCTGTCCTCTAGATGCAAGGAATATTCCCCAGTCGAGCAAGATAAGTTTCGACCAATTTCTGCGATACAACGAGCCCACAAACTGCAGTTGTATCTACCTTCAATCCGGGAGGGAGTAGCTCTCTGATGAATATCGTATACAGGGTGAGTCGAAAAGAAAGTTACCCAAATTATTTCTTTTCCAAAAAAAAACAATCAAATTTCAAACACCGATGAAGTATATCTTAAAACAGCATGTTGTTCCACTCATCTGAAAAAAAGAAGAAGAATTACTGAAATCAATCCATGCTATCAGACATTATGCACATTTTACTAAACGAATCCATTTTTAAAGCTGTTCACGGAATGACAATGTAAGCTTTTGAACTCAGTGACAATTACAGAGTACACACCAGCATTCAAATACAAATGATATTTTAATCATTTAAATCAGGACTGAAACTTTATTTTTTTTTATCATCAAATGTTGTGTTTTGAATATGAGGAACAAGTTATTATTTTTTTGTTAAATTGTTGGTATGTTTTTTTTTTCCTTTGCAAGTTCTCCTCCATTCATCGAGGTGGGAAAACGTCCATGTTTCATTGCACTTAATGGGTATTAATGACGGAAAGTGTGTGGACTTAGAGCCAATTTATTCTCTACGTCATTTGTATTGAAAAAAATGTTAGTGCACTGTGTGTGCGTGACTGTGGGAAGTTTGTTGACACATTATCAGTATATTTCCAGTTCGCGTTGTGATTTCGCAATTGTAGGTGACGGGGCAGAGCTTAGCGCTCCGTGAGCTGCTGCATGTATGCGATTGGTTGCCAAAGGGGCACGGGGCAGTGCAGTGCATGGTTTAGTGCATGTACACGTATGCGCGTACGTGAGGGCTATATACTCACGTAATTACAAGGAGTTGAGCGGCGGACAGCGAGCAGAGAGGAAAGTAGTTTACTTGTGCTCTGCGGGTGTGCAATGCTTATGCGCGAGTTGTACAAAGTTGTATTTGCTGCGTTTGGGCTACGCTAGTATGAATAGCTGATGTGTTGCAGGTACACTAGGCTGACAGAGCTGTACGTTGTTAATACTGGCGGGCATGGTTGATGCGTAGCGGGTACAACGCTGTACTGGTGTACATTGCGCTCGAGTTGTACATTAATTGCTTACGCTACTGTATTTTGCTGATGCTGGCGCGTATTGATGACATTGTGATGCATTGCTGACATTGTGGTGCATTGCTGACATTGTTGAGCATTTTGGATGCTGTTGCGCATTGCTGCTGCGTGCAGTACGCTTGGCTCATCTCTCCAATAGTTAAAGGACCCAGATAATAAAACAAGCACGCC